GGGGTAGGGCTTATATTACGAGCACCCTGAAAAATCATACAAGTGCTTATTTTCAGGTTAGATCTTATTTTCGGGGAAAACAGTATACAGTATATATAAATGAGTTCCGTATATATATGTTATATAAATATAAAAAGTTTAAACTAAATATAAAAGATGTTAAGTCTTTCATGTTGTAGTGTCATATAAGATGAAAAAAATCTCAATATTTGGATTTATGATTGAATCAAGGTTTAAAAAACTTTGCCAATTTTGATTTCTTAATTGTGACTGGGAAAATTATGTAACTCTTCTATAGTCATTATTTTTGTCTTTTAAAGATTGTTTTAAAGAATCAGCTACACTCCTGCTTTTATACTTTCTTTCTTCACAATCTTTGGTAAACATTTCAGGTTATTCTGCCAGTAATATGTTGTTGTCTGAATATCTTAAATGATGGATGTATATTCCACCAATTTTCACTCTTTTGGTATCTGGATTTAATCTGTTTTTCCATATGATATGGTATGCATGCAGATTGAGCAAATAGGGAGATAAAATATACAGTGGTGCCTCGCAAGACAAGCGCTCCGTTTTACGACGAAATTGCATTACGACGAAGTTTTTGCAATCGCAAAAGCGATTGCAAAACAATGTTTCCTATGGGGGAGTTTTGCGATGATTGGTTCCCTGCTTCGGGAACCGATTCTTGCAAAACGACGATTTTCCTACAGCTGATCGGCGATTTCAAAATGGCCGCCGGATTAAAAAAAATGGCTCCCCGCTCTTTTCTGGGACGGATTCCTCACTGCACAGGCAGCAAAAATGGCCGCGCTATGGAGGATCTTCGCTGGACGGTGAGTTTTAAGCCCATAGGAACGCATTAATCAGGGTTTAATGCGCTTCTATGGGCTTTTTAATGTCGCTTTATGATGTTTTCGTTCTACAGCAATTTCGCTGGAACGAATTAACATCGTAATGCGAGGCACCACTGTACCTTTATATGGCGTCTTTCCCAATTTGAAACCATTCTGTTTCTAACTGCATGCCCTTGTCCAGATAATAGATTGTAAATCAGAAAAATCAAATGTTGTGGCATTCCCATTGCTTTTAGAATGATAGCATTTCATAATCTACACAATCAAGGTTGCACCGTAATCTACAAAGCACAAGCTAATTTTCTTCTGAAATTCTTTGTTATGCTTCAGTAGTCGGTATATTTCCAATACAATTTCTGGTGCCCCTTTTTCAGAATCCAGCTTGAACATCTGTTATTCTTGCTGTGTATATACCATTTATGAACTTGATCCAAAACCTGTAGTCATGCCTTTTTTTCTATTTGCATTGCAAATCTCCTTTCCGTTTAGAGACGAAGAAAGCAGGTTGTGAAACCACTTGATTTCTGTTCAATTGAGTGATTGTATGTACAAAGACATAAAGCGAGATTCATGTATTCGAAGAGAAGGTCACAAATGCATCAATGATTAAGGGGTTCTTCAGTGATCTGAGTCATGCATTTACCTGATGCCAGAGTATGGCCTGAATCATTAGTGGATCTGATGTCTGAAGCAACATTGTGCTATGATGATTTCTCTGTGTTGGTCAACTTGCTTTAGTTTTACAGAACAGCAGGAGATACATGTCTTATCTTACTGAGATGAATGGACATGCTGTCAACTGTTTGATCCTTGGTTGATCATAGTTAAACCATAAGACTGGACATCCCTTCATCCACCTCCTCTCTTCTTGGGTTGAAGTCTTCCCTTAATCCCACTTATGTACATTAACTGTGATTAACCATTATAACCTATAGCTAAAGATAACTAGTTTTTCAGTTTTACTGGAATCAGAACATAGTGTTTGTGCATACACATTATGGGAAGCATACATGGGTTTTTCCAGAATACCTTCCTAAAATAGTCCATGAGCTGTAAAAATGGTCTCCAAGTCATTTATGTTCTATGCAGATAGTCTGTAATTTATTCTATTCTTACAATTTTTTTGCTGGTCATTTTGTACAGTATCTAAATGGCCCAGCATCACTGCCTTGTGGCAGAATTCACATGAGAAAGAATAAACTGTTAATTAGGCTTGGTGAAAATAATTAAACATTGCTTGGCTGGTGTTTTGTTTTTGTTTTTAAAGAAAGAAACTATTAGGGTGATAGTTACTTGTAAATGCTTTTCCCCTCTAACCAATACAGTTTTATTCCATTTTTAGGCAGACTAGTATACATCTGGGACCTCCGTGCTCAAGGGACATTAAGAGGAAGAGGAAGCCAGTTATGGCAACAGCCTCCCTTTCCAGTCCAACTTCAGGTATGTTGACTAAGTCACATTATAGCTCAAACCTGTTGTTAATGTAGTAAGTTGCACTAGAGTAGGCCTATTGAATCTGTAGGGATTGGGTGAGTTAGCTCCTTTGTTCCTTAATTCAAACAGGCCTAATCTATTTGCAACTTTAGTATAGTAAGTCACAATTGGAGTAGGCCCATTTGAATCAGTGGAACTTACAGAGGAGCTGAAATCACCAAATCCCCACTGATTCTGTGACCCTGCTCTAGTCTGACTTTCCTATGTTAAAGAGCAGGTTTTCAGCCAATAAATGGTTAATAATTTGGGTGCTGCTGTTCTGGAAGGATGAATGCTTGCGATGTACAAGGAAATCAGAATTTTAAAATTGAGACCTTTTATTTTCACTGTTTCCCTCTAAGGTATCTAAAAGTGAATCTCTTAAATAGAGTGATATGAATTACTCACTTGTAATGGCCCATGCCCAGATTTAATATGAGGTGAGGAAAATCAAAATGCTGCCTTTTTTAGCAGTGGCAGTGGGTTTGAAAGCCAGCAGTGTCTGCAGGCAGCGTGGTTTCTGAGGGCCAGGGATAGTTTTTTGTTAAGTCTTCTTTGTGTCTTCTGTGGTAGGGAGAACAAGCATAAGTGCAGACATGGCTTACTGCATATAATTTATTCTTGTCCACACGGAACTGAATTTATCTTAACACCATATCTCGGCAAGGGGAGGGGAGAGTGTCTTCTGTTTTTAACCATAGGATTGTACATTCAGGCCACCAGCATGGGCCCCCTTAGAAAACTTTCTGTTTTTTTAAAAGAAAGGAATACAGTGGGGTCTCGACTTACGAATTAAAAGAAAGGAATACCTGGATGTGACTTCTTCCATGCACCAGTCTCCGAGGTCTTGAGGCAGTACATTATAGATTTCCTCAGTGAGAGAGATGCTCTTCAGGCAAAGAGCATCTTGCTCACTGAGGGAAAGTATCTTGTGTCTTGAAGGTAGGCTTGTTCACCTAGTATTTTCATCCCATAGCGGGAGAATACTACTTTCCAGGACATGAGAGGAGTCTGCTAATACAGTTGTTTGTTTGTTTGTGACAGAGGTGCTGCGTTGCGTTACCGGCAAGGGGGGGGAGAGTGTCTTCTGTTTTTAACCATAGGATTGTACATTCAGGCCACCAGCATGGGCCCCCTTAGAAAACTTTCTGTTTTTTTTTAAAAGAAAGGAATACCTGGATATGACTTCTTCGATGCATCAGTCTCCGAGGTCTTGAGGCAGTACAGTATAGATTTCCTCAGTGTGAGAGAGGCTCTTCAGGCAAAGAACATCTTGCTCACTGAGGGAAAGTATCTTGTGTTTTGAAGGTAGGCTTGTTCACCTAGTATTTTCATCCCATAGCGGGAGAATACTACTTTCCAGGACATGAGAGGAGTCTGCCAATACAGTTGTTTGTTTGTTTGTTTGTTTAAAATATTTTGCCCCACCTTTCTCCTTAAAAAGAACCCTAGTTAGCTAACATCAATAAAAAGACAATATTTAAGAATTAAAAACAACAAATATACAAATATTTTAAAAAAGAATGAATTAAAATCAATACCGGACACACATTTAAAAGCAGCAAGACACAACAATCTGTTTAAAAGCCCCTCCCAAACAGATAGACAGTAAGGGAAAGAATGTCTGATTTGTGTTTGTTAAAGGTTTGCTAAACATTTCTTCTTTTCTTTGCTTGAGTCTCATAAACCAAAGGTGCAGTTTGGGAATACTGGCAACATAGTGACTTAAGGAAATGTAACGAGTAATTCTTGATATACAGTGGTGCCTCGCATAGCAACGTTAATTCGTTCTGCAAAAATCGCTGCAGAACGAAAACGTCGCTATGCGATATTAAAAAGCCGATAGAAACGCATTGAAACTCCTTCAGTGCGTTCCTATGAGCTTAAAACTCTCCATTCTGCGAAGATCCTCCATAGCACGACCATTTTCGCTGCCTGGTAAGCGAGGAATCCATCCCAAAAAACAGCAGGCAACCATTTTGTTTACCCAGCAGCCATTTTGAAACCGCCGATTAGCTGTTAAAAAAATCATCGCTTTGCGATGATCAGTGCCCGAAACATGGAACCGATCATCACAAAGCGAAATTCCCCCATAGGAAACATCGCAAAGCGATCGCTTTTGCGATCGCAAAAAATGCGTCGCAAAGCGATTTCATCGTAAAATGAAGCAATCGCTATGCGAGGCACCACTGTAAATGTGTCCGTGCGTTCACAAGCATAGACAGAGTATATTGGAAAGTTAAGAATGTAGCTTTTTTGAGATGCCTCTGTTATGCAATGTTTATTCCAGTGATGATGATGATAATGATAGTAATAATAAGACAATGTAATCATCACTAAGATAACAGAACATTGTCAACTAGCAGAAATAGATGCATGCAAGCTGATAAATTTGTAGGTTGCTTACTTAAATGTTATTTTTATCACCATAGGAGTAGTCTTTCTGGAAAATAATTGTGCTCTAATTTGATTAATATCCTTTATCCAAGACAGGCCAAGCCTTCTAACAGGGGGGCTCCCCACAGCTGCAAATAGTTCGGTGCACACTCAGGAGTCTAGACTCTTTGAACTAAGCATGACATAGTTCCAAGCTAGCATACACCACTATCCCCTAAAAATCAAGTAAAAATACTACAGTTGTGCTAGGCATATTTAATTTTTAAAATGTTTAATATTTAAAGGTTATGGTATCAGAAGAATCCGCTGCTCTAGAAGAAAGGCATTTATTTTAACAAAGAAATATGAAATTGCTGCCATTGGGTAGGAAGTGTTTTGGAAGAACTGAGGTATAGCTTTTAATCGATAAATAATGAAGACAGCACATAAATTAAAAGGTCCCAAAGAACTATCTCCTTGGTGTGGCAGCACCAGTGCCAGCTTTAATGTTTTTGTTCTGTTCTAGTCTATGTATCCTCTCTTTTCTGTCCCTTGACATCCAGCTTGTGTGCTGTTTAGTGTGTTTCCTGCTTATATCACTCCGTTCAGTTGTCAAGCTGTGCTTTAGGGCAAGCTTGGATTTTGTTCAAAAATGCATATCCAGATAGCCAAGTCATTCCTGGCAGGAACTAATAGCTTTACTTGAATGTACAGAATCATTTCAGATGGTGGGAGCCTTGAATTGTGCATTTGACAATCCCGCCCTTACCCTTAGGCAACAGATGTGGTGGAGTTGGGGAATGGCAGGTGTTGAGGGACAGAGCTGCATGGCACAAGCAACCTGCCTGTTCAGGCATGTTAGTGTGCTTGCTTGATATGCACATTGTTCTTGAGCAAAGATAAAAGGAAAGGAGAGATTCGACCTTTCCTTGCTGTGAATTAGTAGGAAAAGGTATTCACCATTTTACCATGGCAGAATGTCACAGGAAGATGTTATGATGTTCTATCATGCGCTAAGAAACCTGGCAGTGTTAGTGGCACTAGAACATAGGTAGGGGCTACTTGCTGTAGTTCTTGGTGCACATTGCAAAAATCATCTGAACCTTTAAAATCGTATGCATTCCTGCTGTTTTTTGGCACCCTGTGGTGGAAATTCAATCTGAATAAACTGAGGGAGGGAAAATCCCTAGCACATTTTCAGGAGCCTCGTGAGGCAGTGGTTAAACTGCTGTACTGCAGTCAAAATGGTGCTCATGACTGGGGGTTCAGTTCCAGGTAGCCGGCTCAAAGTTAACTCAGCCTTCTATCCTTCCGAGGTTGGTAAAAAAAATTTTTTTTGGTACTTCTCCACTCAGGGTTAGCTCTCCTCACAGTGGCAGACAAAATGGCCATCAACCGATTTGTGCTATCCTTCAACTAGAAGCAATCTATTCTTTCCTTTCAAAGTAATTTAATCACTTAGCAGCTCCAACCACACTTGTTATAGAATAGCTACGAACTCCAAGCATATTCAGCAGATACAATTGGCTCCTCATGGCACAGTGGTTAAATTGCTGTATTGCAGCCAAAACTGTGCTCACAACCAGGGGTTCAATCCCAGGTAGCCGCCTCAAGGTTGATTCAGCCTTCTTTTTTCCCGAGGTTGGTAAAATGAGTACCCAGCTTGCGGGGGGAGGGGGAATGTGTAACCTTCATAATCAACTTCTAAACCACCAGAAAGTGCTTGAAGAGCTATGGGGTGGTATAGAAGCAGCATGCTTTTTTATGTCTTTTAGGCTTCCTCTCTGTCTCCATAAATCAATTACAGTGGTGCCTTGACTTACGACCATAATCTGTTCCAGGAAATGGACGTAACTCAAAATGGCCGTAAGTCGAAGCACCATTTCCAATTGAAATGCGATTAGTCCGTTCTGGCTAGAAAAAAAAATACACCCCTCCCCCAATAAAATTAAAATAAAACACTGCAAGCCCCATAAGAGTGCACTAGGGCTGCAAAAAATAAAAAAGCACCCAAAAATAAACAGAACAAGCCCCAAAGGTGCTGGGGCTTTAAAAAAATAAAAGCGAAAAATAAATGGAGCAAGCTCTGAAGGTACTGGGGCTTAAGAAAAACCCACCTAAAATAAACAATTGTAGCCCCATGTTGGGGCTACAAAAAAATCACAAGAAAACAAAACAACAACACAGCACAGAAACATAACACACACACTCAGCCCAAACCCACGCTGCAAAACCCACCTAGAACAGTTTTAAAAAAGCAAAAAGCAGCACCTTACCAGGCAGTCTGAAGCCTCCTCCGCTCGCAGTCACTCTAACCATTGGGGCGAAAGAGCTACAAAGAAGCAGCTTCTTCGCCTACCAACAGTTAGCAATTTGAATTTCCCGCCCTTTTCCCCTGCCTTTTAAAAATCATAACTGTAAGTTCCAACCGCAAGTTGAAGCAAATTTTTGTGGCCAGAGCTGGTCGTAACTCAAAATAGTCATAGTCGGGTCGTTTGTAAGTTGAGGCAGTCATAGTCGGGTCGTTCGTAAGTTGAGGCACCACTGTGCTTTTCTCATTCCATTAATATAAAGGTCCTCCAATTTATACA